GGGGGGGGGGGGGGGGGGGGCAAAGTACACACCACACTATTTTCGGGGCCTCTCCGTGCGTGTTGTAGCCGTCGGGTAGAAGTACAGGGAGGACCCAAGAATCACACTGGAAAAGAATAGGAGAGGCGAGGGGGCGCAAAGTACCGAGACACACCTTTTTCGGCGCCTCTCCGAACGTGTGCGAGGAGTAGAGCGTGCTTCCGCCCCGCCGGGGATCGTCGTCCCCTACCCCCAAAAAGTCCAGGAATGCCGAAACCCTGCCGGGGTGATCGGACAGTTCCTTTCCCGCGTCGTTGACTATTATAGAAGAAAATTTGACGTGTAGATATATCGACGAAGATAACGTGGGTGGGATTAGCGCGCGCACGTGCACAAGAAACAGGCCGGACGCGATGTTTCAGAATAATCGATTTGCACACTTTGAAAGAACGCGAAAACCGATGAAAAACAAAACACGTTGGAATTCAATGAGGTTATCCCAGAGCGACTTTCCCCAACCCATGTTGCCTGCCTCGTCTCATACGCCGTGCCCCGTGCGGCTTCTTTTTCTTCTCTTCTGGCGTATGCATATGACTATCGTACTGTTCTACATCGCAAATGGCTACATATCTATCATGCATGACGGTGCTACTTGTTGCTGATTGTTCCCAAGTGCATAAACAACCATTCTTCACACGTCAGTAGACCATTAAGCCTTAATTCTCTCGTACAATACAACACGCGCGGGAAGATCCATCGCCAAGGTTGCGCCGGTTTCACGAGACGCTGCATGCGTAAATTTAGAAGCAACAATCGCCGCATCACTAATGAATATCTAGGCTTGAACAGACTCAAAGTTTGGCGGTATCAAAGCCGGCTTTCTTCCCCACTCACTTCAAAGACTGAAACACAACCTCTTTTCGACTGCTGTGGTGCTATCTCCGACGGGTGGCCTTTCAGTGACTGCATGCAAAAGTTCTACAAAGGCGGGACAGGGATGAACGACCATCTCTCTTTGAATTGCGTCCTCACTCGCTCACCCCCGTAGTCGTGGTCGTCCCAGACGCCCTCGACCCTCGGAACCTTGGCGAGAAACCGTTGGTAGTCCTCGTTCGCCAGCTGTTTCGAGAACGCTTCTCGCATCTACCAATAAAAGACGAAACGAGAAGTACATGGCGCATTAACGACCGAGCATAAAGAGTGAAAAAACACAGCTATTCGTTTCATATCGAAATAGCGAAACACACGGGGGTTTGAGGGGACACGCACCACACGCTCAAGACCGATCGCACAGCACTGAACACGGCAGACAGTGGGCACGAGCAGCTGGAGGATGACAACGACAACGAGCGGGGGTGCTTCAAGGCGCGAGAGAAGAGTCGCCGAACTCGCGAAACGCTCGTGCGATCGCGAAAGCGCCCAGCTACATTGCACAGGAACGCCCGCGTGTTTTTGTATACTTCAATTCCATTCGTGTGTTGTACCACGCCCAAATACAGGCAGCGCACGCGCAGCCACGCCCAACGAGGACGCGCGGCAGGCGATATCATTCAATCCTTGTTTCTGCGACAAATTTTTGATCATCCTCCACAGACGATGAGGACATACATGACCATTCTTGTAACGGTCATCTCCGCATGTTGGTACTCTCACTTCCGGCCGCGCATCTTCAGGTAAGGCATTGCGTTGGTGGTGGTATTGAGGAAACCGACAACGGCGATAGCTGTCACCCCGCCCCCCCCGTCCGCAACCACAGTGCCCCGTTGTTGCCCTTCGGGAACCCCCAACGTCGAGGAAAAATCGCCCCCTTGGACTACCAGGCGTTGATGGCAAAATCTCACAAGGACACCACACGCAGCACAGGCAAAACAAGTTGCACATACAACAAACGGAACCGGCTACGAAGAATCTCGAGCTCGAGCACCAAGCTTTGACGACCCTGGTTCTTCCAGCAGACCGCACTAGGAACAACAGCACACTGCAGCCAACAAACGTGCCAAAAGAACGACGAACTGTGGTCTTTCAAGCAGACCGCGACATAACACCAGCACAGCCAATAATAACACGTGTTGCAACAGAGCAGAAAAACGTCCGGTGAGCTCAAGTGAGTCAGTCGGTCACACCTTCTTCACACCCCCGTCGCTAAACTTGTCCACGTACACGGCGTCGCCGATCCAGAGCCACACGTCGGGTGAGAGGTCCTCCACACTTTTCCACATCGGCTGCGACAACAGTAGTTCAGGGCCGGGATGGGGGGGGGGGGGGGGG